TGTATCTTCACGGCTCCGATGCGGTTCACTACTCTGGGGACAGTATGTAATATTTATAGGCAACAAAATCTTTGAAATTGGATAGGGTAGCTGAAGATATTCCCTTTTAATTACACATAATCCTAAATATGTCAAAGATTGATATTAGAATAGTTGCGTTGAAATTACAGCTTCAAGAACAGTCACTTAAAAAAATGTTTAACGTACCCCATGTAAATGTTATTTGATCGAAGAGAACTGATGTAGGTTCCAGTAAAAAGCAAAGAATCACATCATGCCTTTTTAGACCCATGAAAAATAATATACTATATTTTTAAATAATAAAAACAGCAATACTCTCGATTTATGCATAGTATTTTTGTTTTATTCAACTGTTTTCTTTCACAATTATTTGTAGCATTAATTCTATAATATAACTAGATCAGATATTCTAAATGATATACGACAATTGAGCAAAATTCGTTAGCCATATCTAGAATGTCTCAAATCCCTATTCAGTGTTTGTAATAATCAAATTTTACTAAAATATTAAAGTAAAGAATAATTAGCCGGATGATTTGTATGTCGTTATAATACTAACCAATGTAAAACGAAAACAAATAGCAACAGACAATATTTCATAATTTTTAGTCATAAATTTTATTTTTTTCTCTTTTGCATGTTAAGCCAGAGTATGACATCAACACAGGGTAATTTTTACCCCTTATTAATCAGTATTTTTCTTATTTCGCAATCCTTATTGAAAATGTGCATATTGCACAATTGCAATGAAATAGTTGCCATTTGGTTGTGCAATATCACACTCAATGTTGAGAGTATAAAAAGCGATGTATACCATAGCAAAAAGCAATTTCTCGTTAGTGGCTAAACAGTCGAGTGTCACAACTTCGTCGCTGTTAGAGCTTTCGCGTCATTCCAACAATACTTCGTAGTTTGGAGACTTTTTTACAGTTTCCTAATGCGCTTTCTGGTCTTCGGGTGGTACGTTCCAACACATACTGAAATGTGGGGAAACTCGGCATTCTTCTATCGAAAGATGAAGCTAACGGGTCCCACGAGTCATACCACTGGAGGCCCTTACTTCAAGTGAATATATTATTCATCACGATTATTTAAGTGTGTATGAATGATGTATTGCTTTGTTATAAGGGTACCAGTGTATTCGACGAATGTAGTAATGCAATAAAGGTAAGCATAAGATATGTTATTTTTTTATATATATTTATGCTGATTTTTTTATCTATTTTACATGAAATAATATTTATTCTTAATTTGAATATGGATTAGAAAAACAATCAAAGAATTATAACTAGAAAGAAAATATTTTTTTTATTTGAATATTTATCAAATAGAAATATAAAAAAATAACAATGACTACTTGTTGATATTTAAATTCAAAAATAAAGATATGATATACTAGTCGCTTTTTACTTGTTTTTTCTAAGTAAACAAGTAACGCATGGGTCTCTTTGGTCTCGTGTGACTCAATCCTGAAACAACAGGTGAATCATAAGAGTAGCCTGCTGTATTTACCATGTGAAAATGATATGCTATGCTTATTTATGTACATCAAACACCGAAAAAAATGGAACAGAGCTGCAATTCATTCCACTAATAATTATTTCAGAAAGTTGATATCTAGTATTCAAGCAGAATAGAAACAAGATGCATATTTAAATGAATCAACATAATATGCACTACATGTAGCGTCCTCTGAGTTTTTGGAATGAGCCGAATATAAAATTGCTGAAATGTCTTAGTTATTATTTTAGTGTATACTCGGAAACTATTATTAGACGGATGAATGATTTCTTCTAACAATTGAAAATTTTACTATATTCTTATTGTGTGAATCCAATATACTAATATACATACTATTTATGTATTAAGAAAAAAAACTTCGTGCATAGAAATATCAACTTTCGATATTACAATCAAAAAAGTACTTTGTTATTTTTAATTAACAACAACAAAACGATATAGTATAAATAACAGATAAAAATTGACAAAACAAAATTGTTAAATATATAAAATTAATAATAATATAGCATCATTATTCGAGATTGTCTTTCATATTGTTATTTTTACTAATAGATCAGGAAAAACTTTTAAATTGATTAAAATAAGCAAAACAAAATCAAGACTTTGACGTACTTATAAGCAATAACTACAGCAGCATGGTTATGTTCATATTTCTCAAGTGTAATTTGTTCTCTCGATTAATTTTTTTACTACGAACTTTTCTTAATTCATCAGCAAATAGAGCTTTTAGGGCTGCTAAAGAACCAATCGAACTCGCTGAAGTGAAAAATATACATACGCTCTTAGACATACAAATTTTACTTGCTCCTACTTTTATTGAAATAATAAACCGTTCATTATTCTTCGAAAACAATATTAAAAGTCTTTACATAAAGAAAAAAGTCACCGAAAACCTCATAATCAATATCAATAAGTAATACGATATTTATATGTAGGACGTACACCTTCAATAATTGGAATAATATTCGTTCATCTTTTAGCTACATTTAATAAACCACAACTGGATCGATATGAAAATTCTACAGTGTATACAAGATCATCCTTAATAAAGAAATTCAATTTATGCTAGATTTTCAAAAGAAAATAACGGAGGAATATACCGGTCCTATAATATCAGAAATATGAGAAACAGTTGTATCGCTAGCAAATCTGACAGAAACTCTCAGTTTATTTATTAAAGTAATCTGATAACAAAACATTTACATCAGCACTATTTTTTTTTGACTATAAACCAAGGGGGAAAGGGCGGACTTTTGTACCTCAAGTACTTTAAAGTACTTTGAGGTAATTTAAAGTACTTTGAGGTAATTTAAAGTACTTTGAGGTAATTTAAAGTACTTTTAGCAGATTTTTAGCTACTTCATACGAACTTTCAAGTACTTTAAGCTACTTTAGGCTATTTTAAGCTACTTTAAGCTACTTTAGGCTACTTTAAGCTACTTTGAGCTACTTCAAGTACTTTCAATACTTCTATATACTAAATTATTTAAAATTTCTCAATATGACTGTAAGTACATAATGTGGATAATAGTTAAAGGTTATTTTATTTTTGGCAAACAATAATATAATATAAACCACTACATTTTGAAAAAAAAATGTGACTCGAAGAATTAATTCGTTAATAGAAAGATATTAAATAGTTAGTTTGCAGTATATTTTATGGATAATAATTATAAAAAGACAATTATATTGAATATGAAAATACAATATTTTCTGCTATTTTATTCAAGGAATAGATTAAATAAAAAATCAAAATTCAATAATATGAAGGATTATAAGTAATCGATATCGACATGTCGACATCAACATATTTTCTACATGTATTTGCGGCTTCATATTAATTAGACAAGATATTGCTTTTATTTTATATTGAATATATTAATCTGTCTATGATCTTGCTGTCATTATGTTACATAAGGTGTATTTTTGTCAAGAATATTTTTTAAATGCGATCGCAAATGTTCATTCGTTGTTATCAACATGATTCAAGATGACTTTTCAGTTACTTATTCATAAATATACGTTTTGTTTCCATAATTAAACCGATAAAATTTGCTTTTCATGCAGATCTATTTGGTTCATATTTGTTATTTTTTCCATTCTTTTTTCTTCTTTACATACAAGGCCGTCTCTTTTCTGCTTTTTTTCTCATTTATCATCTTACAAGAAATGATGAATTTGTTGTACAGCTTGATTACGCTAATTTTGATCATTTTTACTAGACTCTCTATACTTTTCTTTTAGATCAAAAATTTCTAACTTTGATATAGTTGGATAGAGAATAACTCAATCTATCAAATGCTACTATTTTCGATTGATTTATGTTGCATCTAAGGTAGAGCAGTCAGTGACTTTTGAAGAACACTCAAAACATTTTTTTTCAAATGGTAGTTCTGAAATCAAAATTTGCTAATTACAACTTAGTTGTTCAGTAAACTCCCATTGTCTGCACACAACTCGATATATTTTGAATCGCTTTATCGAACTGTATGATTTTCATCAAATATATTCTCTAGATTGGCAAGAGAATTCGACAATTTTGCACAGTTTATTAGCTATCAAATCTCGAATATTAGTCAGATTGCCAACTAAGTGACAATAACTTATTTATTTGAGTATTCTTCACTGATAGATTAACGACTGCATCGACTGGTCATGGCTACGTTGTTATATTTACTTGATTTTCGAACGGTGCAAATATCATTGAAAACCTAGCAATGTATGCTTGTCTACAATCCTGACCTTAAAATGAAATTTTCTACTAAATTTGAAAACTATTTCACAATGTGCTATTTATAGACCCATATTTGTTAATTCTCATTAATCTGAAATTCTTTTCACCACAAACAGGTGTCACCTGTGTGAGGTATTATCGTGAAAAAGTTTCTTTTTGTACCTTTTGAGACTTTCTAGATTTTCTCTCTTAGGCTAAAAGTAAAAGAATGAAAAAGAGTGGTATTCCATAGGTCAAGTCATGCTCTATTCAACCATACAAAAGTTAGAAATTTTTGATACAATAGGAAGATATGACGAGTCTAGTAAAAATGGTCAAAATTAACGCAATGAAGCTATACATAAAAATAAAAGAAGAGCTAAATTACACACTTCAATATATCCAAAAGACTAGTTATCTTATTATGTTAAATACATAAAAGGACGCATAAAATAACTGCTAATCGTATCAATATTTTCTTTTGAATGATTCAATAGTTTGTTGATAACATTTTTATGATTTCAAATATTCTTATTATCTGTTTCAGATAAATTTTCAAGTAACAGTCGTGCTAATCCTATTTTTTCTGAACATATTAACAAACTGTTTAACAATAATTGAACGAGGCAAATTTACAATCGTTACTTAAAGTCTTTTCCGGTAACGTACTTATACATGAAACCTTCTATTTCTATGTACATTAACATAATTATTTTAGGTACCCGCATAAAATTTATTGTACGAAATGAATTTCGGCGTAGACAAAGATAGTTCATTAATTGATACATCAGTGTTACCAAATGATATATTTACACGTGTGGATGATGATTTTTTTTCTATTGTTAAAGCATTAGCCGGTGATTCAGTATTCAATATTTTACGGATACACCTAATTAATTCGGTAAGAAAACTGTTATCTACAACTGATGTATTCGCATTTTTTCAAATTGAATCTGAAGAAACAGATAAAATAAAAGCTGAATCTTGTTTTAAATCTAAAACTGGACAATATTTTGTTAAACCCGGTATTCAAACCAGTTTATCATATTTAATCAAATTATTAAACCAGAAGCTAAAAGAAGAATTAACACTAAATGAAAATAATGAAACTCGAGATACATTTATATCTAACGAGTTTATTGACAAGCATCCGCTTTTAAAATCTTTACTTAGATGCTATCAACAAAATGACTCGGAAAACAACAACAAAGCAAATAGGTTTTTAACGATGTTCATCGATAATGTGGTATTCAATCTTACACAATCTTCAAATAATTTTAGATACACTGAATCAATTAAAAAATTTGCCATATGCTTATACATATTCGGTGGTAAACAATGCTATGAGTTCGTTCGTTTAAATATGCCTGGTAGTATACCGCATTTGTCAACACTTGGTGATTTAATTAATAAATCGAATATGACTTTAACTGAGGCAGAATTTAAATTTGACTCACTTCAAAAGTTTCAATCAGGTTTTGGATTTTGTTCTGAAGGTACTACTGGTGTCATTCCTAAAGTTGAATACGATTCGTCGACAAACTCATTCATTGGATTTACAACACCAATTGTTGATGGCATTCCATTGACGAAACATTATCAAGCTGATACATTTGATGATTTTAAAATCATATATAGTACCGATGAAACAGCACCACTATTGAATGTACATATGTTCCAAAGTATATCAACAGAAGATGATCCAACAAATTTTTCGAAACCAGTTTTACTCTCTGCTTATGGTGTTGACAACAAATTTAGAGCTATGGATATTTTACGACGATGGATGTATATTTTTGAACGTTGTTTAGATAAAGATGTTCGCATTATCGGATTTTCTACAGGTAAATTTTATTTATACAATGTTCCTCTCAAATGTATCTTAATTGTAAATAGATGCAGATAACAAATACATAAGTGCCATGCGTCTTGCCAGTAATTTCTTCGCGTCGTTACCCAATTTCAAATTAGACAAGCATCAACATGCATTTAAAATAGATATACCGAATGACTGGACTTGGTTTTTTCTTAGTAGAAATCAACTCTTCTTGTTTTTTCAAGATCCGGTACATATCGTTACCAAATGGCGTAATCTATTGTTATCATCAACAGCGGATTTATATATTGGGAACGATAAAATTATTATGGCACATATAGAACAACTAATCGATAACAATAGTTACACAAATTAGATCATGGTTTGACGAAAAGTGATATTAATCCTAAAGATCGCCAAAATTATAATTCATGTATTAAGTTAATATCAGACGATGTAATAAATCTTCTTAATGATAGTATAGATAGCAATGGGACAGTTGTTTATTTAACATTGTTAAAAATGATAGTAAAAGCATACATTGATAAATCGACAAGTATTCATGAACGTAAGTCCATTTTTAACATTAGAAACGAAAAAGGTCAAACTAATTAATTGTTAACATTTTCTATGTATTTAGGTATTCAATCAGCATGGTGGGTAGTATTTGTGTGTCGCCTTTGGTGGTCTTGCTTAGAAAAAACATCAACTTTGAAATCATCGAAAACCAGCCAAACAACAAGCAACAGAAAAAATAATATTAACAAATACTTTATTACTAGACTTGCATATATGTCTGTTGAGTTGAACGCACACAATTTACTATATTTAGTACTATTAGTGAAACAGCAACATTTACCAAAGCAAGCATTAATCAATATACATTTATTCAATTCACAACCATGCGAGTCATTATTTAGAGATGCAAGATCATTAAGCAGTACATCCTCAACGGTCGTCAATTTTACCGTAAAAGATTTTATGCGACGTTCACAAAAACTATCAATATTAAATCAATTTAAACATAATCATTTGGAAAAAGATCTATCATTCCCCATACATCACAAACACAAATGCGAACATCCATTACAATCATCACATCAATTAGATAATATTGATACCTTAGATATTCAAAAATTAATATCAAATGCATATGATCAAGCATTACGTCTTGTTAAATATTCAAAAATACTAGTTAAATTAAATGAGCATCAAATAAATTATTTAAATGATTTAAGTAGTTATATCTTCAACATGTTAAATAAAAATTCAAGAATGATTAATTATTCTTTCCGAACAGAAAATAACACCACTGACGAGTTTGGATTGGATGAAGAAAATGAAGATAATGACGTCATCAATTATGCACCAGACCAACTTATTGATGAAATTCTATTTGATGCTCAAAGCGACGGTGTTAGTGATGATGATGAAAATATATTAAATTCAACAAAATCAGATTTTAATGGGATAAGAATAGTTGATAATATTAATCCTGCCATAAGAAAATCGTATTTCAAAGTCAAAATAAATGACAATATTAAGTATCTTCACAAACAATCGGCCTGCTGGCTGCAATCGAGTCAGATAACGAAATTATCAAGTGATCGTTTATCTCGTGTCATGCAACAAACACCTGGTCATGATTAGTAAACTTATTCATTTCATATTTTTTTCTGTTATACTAGTATTTACTGTTGTAAAAAGTGAATAAACTAATCATTCATAGTTTTTCAACACTATTTAATTTTGTTCTATGCATATCTAGATCATTAAGAATACTTTAAAGTACTTTAGCATAATTTCAAGTACTCTGACGTAATTTGAAGCTACTTAAACGTAATTAAAAAGTACTTTGAGATACTTTAAGCTACTTTGAGCTACTTTGAGCTACTTCGAGCTACTTTAAGCTATTTCGAGCGACTTTGAAGTACTTTTTGTACTTTACTGTACTTTTCTACTTCAAGTCCGCCCTTTCCCCCTAGCTATAAACACTTTTACTAACGAGCATATTTCTAGTTAACAGTGTATCGTCATATTTTGACTGAACTATAAATATTCCTTATAAAAAAGGAATCAATATTGCATGATATTAAGAAAGACTAAATACATAAACCAGGAAATGATTCAGCTTACCTTTACCATCACTATGACGTCCACTCTACCACGTAAGAAAAATTATTAAAATACTCTCTTAATCAAAAAAAAAACAATTTATTATGATTACTGCTTAAAGAAATAAGATTATACCAAAAATATAGCTAGTCCACCACGATCACCACCTGTATAGTCTATTAGCTTAATATATATCATAGAAATAATAATTGTTTGTTTTTGGAACGTGCGTTCCGTCATTGGTAATATGTATGGATTAATAATCGACATTGGATGACATGTAATTTAACTGTGATAAAATTGAAAATTCAAATGAGAATTGATTATAATGGCAGTTAATGAAACTGCTTATTTAGCAAGTTTATCTTGTTTAGGTGGATGGTAGTTTCATAGTGACCGATATTACTGATTTTAATGTCCAGATCCTTAGATATCAGAGTAATCAGTTCAGATGAGGGATAAAAAGGAATCGTCCACATTCACCCGATTCATAAATTAGAAATCATTGAACTATATACCGTCATAACACTAACCTTATTGACATCGTTCGATCGATATTCTATATTAATTTCAAAAATAAAAGCAGATAACAGATGGGTTACCATTTCTCAAAGTTTACTCGAGAATCCATCGTAACGTCAAACTCATTCTCATAGAGTAGAAAGTTAAACTGGCAATAGCATACATAGATCTGACTAGGCCGCCAATTTTAAAAATTTTCATTTATTGACACTAACGGAGTCTGAATGTAACTGATCGTAGCAGCCAGCTAGAAATCGAAATATTTCTTATAAAGCTTTAAGAGTTTCTTCCATCAAAACTCACATGCATCTGTCTTGTCACTGTCCTCTGTGTTATTATATTTAATTTTACTCTGTTTTCTTATGAAGTCAGTGAAGAAAGATTCGGTAACTGCTTTTTCTTCGTTGTTATTTTTATCTGGACAATATGCTTCTGGTGGTGCTTTTAGTTACATTTTTATCTATATTGTTTATAAATGTTGAGAGGTGTGAATACTATCTTATCTGATGGAATTTATCAAACTTTATATACTTTGTACTTTTTTTCTTGCGGTTGCACATTTGTGTCTTTATGCTTTCGTTTTTATCTTGCGAGTTATTTTGATAATATTACTATAGTAGTATCAACATAAATATTAAGGTAAAGATGAATATAGGCAGCTATCCTTTTTAAAATTGATGCTAGTGAAGAGTTCCATCAAATACTGCTATCATTTGAATAGGCTATTGAGCCAATCGATGAACTACTGATTAATCTCAGTATAATGGTTGATACAGCCAAATATAACTCGGAAAAGCTGATAGGTGGACTCACTTCCAACGAATTGGCTGGCATTCATTTCTACATCATGCATCAGGAAGAGCCAAACGTAATTCTTAATGCTATGCTTAATAACGCACCTCGTTAAAAATGCTGGAAACCGCTCGGGTCATGGTTCCATTACCTAAAGCTAGTGCTTCCTGCTTTATTCAATCTACCGCTATTGAAAAATGCAGTTTGAGGAGAAGTTCGTGGCAATCTGAGCGATCAATATGATGATGAAATTAATATGGCGGAGATTTGGTTCATGTACGGAGAGTTCAGCTAAAGACTAATCTGTTACTACAATGCCAGCTGCAACCATGGAAATATCAGCAAAACAATATATTTCAATTTCGCAAGGAGAAAGTTTATCAAGTGCTGCTGCTGCTGTTGCTACAGCATTGATAAAACAAATAAAGTAAGGGTTTTTTTCTCTCGTTTTTGCATATTCGTGTAGGGAATTCTCAGCGTAACATTCAATATTACGGATATGATGTGAGAGAAAACTACAAGTAAAGGGCTTAAATCTACTGTCACTTGTCAATGATGTTTCAATATTGCAGATTTGTAATTAGGATCCTAGCACACACTTATCGATTTTGTTTTTAAAACAGATCTATGTTTCCGTGATAGTATAACAGCAAACGGGTGTGGGTGTGGACAAGTGAGAAAAGAGTACGGCTACTTCACATTCACATTGACCCAAATACTTACACCTATATGCGCAAAATTTTCAGAAAAAAACCTGTTTAGAAAATGGCCATCATATAATAGTAGATGCCTTGACTTTAGCAGTCAATCAAATACAGCCCAAATCAATAGGTAAGCGTACCAAAAATTGACTTTTTTCTTTAAAATCAATCTTGAATAGAAATGACTGTTCAGTTTTAAAAGACTGGAGTAAGTTCTACAATATAGTTGCAAGACAATTACTTTATCAAAATTGAATAAGTCGGAAAAGAAGCCATTATAAAGAGATGCTAAATTTCAGGATTTACAAGAAATCCAAGAATATAAAAGAAAAAATGAACAAAAGTTGAGACGAAGTCACTAAAGTATAAAAACTGAAACTTTAGAGAATCATTGTGTTTAGCATCATTTTGAAATAAATGATAACTGACTGGTCACAAGAAAATAATCAATCAAATAGGACCCAAGTTCATAATTGTGACGGTCATCGAGTGATTCAGTTGGAGGTTCACTATTGAACGTACTTATTGGTGTAAGAAGCTACGGTTTTTCTAAATAGACATTATGAAAAGTACGGATACAATCTATTCAATTTGGTTTAACAGCACTAGACATGATGGTTGTCTTTACATACTTTTAATGAAAAATAACTTTCATTGGAAATCATACGTCTCGGAGTTTTGTGAGTGCTCGACATATCCTTTATCCTTACACATTCTATGTGGATTTTCACAGCAAATACCTGTCAACTGTGGCACGAAAAGTTAAAATTATTCGATATGTCCGCTTTCGACTCGAGTGTTATAAAGTATTGCAGAAAAGCTCTTTCAAATGTATTAGCTCCTCATTATATTATGACATCGGTAATAAAGACAATTAGCTTAGACTTTGCGTATGGGCGGCTGTATGTTGATGTTACTGAAGAAAACATTAATACATCCATAACATGTCATAATATAACGAGCAGAAGAAAAATGAGTTTGTTAAAACCTTTGATCAATACTAATTTAATAGTATCTGGAAAGCTTTGCTCGAAAAACTGAAATTATCCAGACACAATAGAAGTCTTATGTAGGTAGAAGAGAAGAGGTGATCATCTATTTTAGGGAGTATTTTACAATTTTCTTTACCTGTAAGCATAAAATAGAGATCCTTATAATTGCTCTTACATCTTCATTCGGATAGATAGATATTCAATACACAAAATCTTTAAATACCGTTGTTCAGTAACAATATTGCAGTGATGCATAAGGAATACTTTATCACATTGCATTACTCAAAAAAAAAACAACTTCAAAGCATGATCTTGCGATAATATAGTGTTTTCGCTTCAACCTTTAGCTCGATCACACCAATTCAATGAATCTGATAATAACATGTTTGTCTCTTGTGCGAAAGCCGCTCGAAGATCTCGCACATTACCAGGTAAAGCTTTTGCTTTAATACATGTTCAACTTTAATCTATTTCGTTCTATACGTAGCTGGAGTACAAAATGAATCTTCGTCGCTTTGAAAGTCATTGATTGAATATATATTCACCAAAAGTACTGTGTATACAAATTATAGAATCGAATTAATCCAATTTTCACAAAAATATTTTTCAACTTATCGTTGGTAAAGTATGATTTCAAAGTAATCAATAATGTTCCATATAAAAGTGTAACAACGATAAACTGCAAACATATTTCATATGTTTCTATTGAAATGAATAACAGTAACTACTGCTTTACGAGAGAAAGATTTCGACTAATGAAGAGTTTTTGAGTGAAGATTATGTATATTGTGTAGATTAAAGAGTTCAGATCCTTAATTTATTGTTGTGGAGACATTGCTTGTTTTTATAATATATTTTAAATAAATGCAGTAGTTCTCAGCAGTAACGCTCGGACAACTGAGTTTCGAATTTCAACATGATACTTTGAATAGAGACACGTCTCAACGAGAATAATTTATTGTAAAAGCCTACAGTCTTTTGATTGCTTCTAGCTTCAGATATGGCTATAGTAATAGCATGTTTTTTTCATGCCGTTCATATACGATTGTGAATTCAAACACTTAGAAATATAGTCATTAGTTCTGGTTGACAAAAGTTTGTTCTTGTGATTCTCGAACTAAAATCGATTTGAGACATCTCTAGTGCGGATACCTATGCTTAAAAAAATCAGGAGTTGCTACCAGCTAATGTATCTTATCTCTTATTTTATTTATCATCAAAATGATGCTTATGCATATATATAGTTGTAGAGAGAGAGAGATCAGAATGATCTAAGTATCGAATATTGCCTTGCTTTCCAATTCATTTTATATATTTGTTTTTGTTGATTTCAATTTTTTTCAGATAAGAAATATTCAAACTAACAAGAAATAAACATGACCGAAAATGTAGGTTTATATTAAGACAAAATCGAATGAATTTCGATTTATGTCAGATACATTCTTTTTACTTTTTTATTATTGAACTCTTCTCTAGCGACAAGTTCATAATACAGAACGCTATATTTTATGTTCGTTTTGCAAGGAAA